AAAATACATTTGAGACTCGTAAATATATTTATCTCATATTAAGCTATGTAAATTAGTGAATTTAAACTGAATTTTTTAACTTTCTCATCATGCTTTTTTATGCTTCAATTATACCAGTTAAAGAAATTTAATTTAACCAACCACAACCTAATATTCTTGGCTTCCAATTTTTCAAACATTATTTATCCAAGCAATATAATGAATATTTTTAATTATGTCATTAGAAATTTTTTATTGTTAATCCCTTCGATTCGTTAGATTATCATTCGCTGTGCGGGCTTAGTTTTCATTTTATAAAAGATAACTGTGATAGGTGATTAAACAGAGTCCAATTAGGTGAACTTTACGGTAATAATAGGATTTATCATCGATAAATATATTCGTAAAAGATCGGTGGGTACATTCGTGGTGTCAGTAGTCCCTCTGGTCAAGATGTGTTTTCGTGAAGCACGAATTGGGGAAAAAGAAATAAAATGGGCAAAGTGTACGTCCTATGCTATAAACATGTTAGCGCTAAAGTTCACTCACCGTCTCGTGTAAATGTATATAAAAGGAAAAAGGTAAAGATCAAGAAGAGTGCACAGATGAGGGAGGGAGAAAGAGAGAGTTCAGTGTCGGTGGACTCAAAGAAATTCTTGGCTTCGAGCTTGTTTTCTTCCTTTATCCTATTCCTTGTTTTCCCGAGGCGAGAAAACTATCTCGGGTGGACCCAGTCGTCGTACAGTGTGTAACGCGTTTGTCCCTCCTCCTTCTGGCGCTATAACCTAGAGTAGAAAGGGCGACGTATCGCGGCACACTCGCAGATAAAATGGGAAGGAGAGCGAGCAAGCGACCGCCAAACTAATCAGACTCGACCAATCCGCGTTATTCCCGTAGGACACCCTCTCACCGGACAAGATAATTTAAACTTTCACCGCAGTAACGTATCTACTTCAAATCGGATTTCCCCTCGCCCCACCGCTTAGATGATGTTCCGATTTCGCTAGACTCTTTTTCTCCTTCTGCATCTGTTTCTGCCTGCCCTTTGCTTTTTCCACGCCACTTCCCCTTGCCGCCGCCGCCGCCATCGCCACAACCGCCGCCCACTCTCACTCTCTCTCACTCTCTCTCACTCTCTCTCACATACACTATCTCTCTCACTCTCACTCACTCTCTCTCTCTCTCTGTGTGTACCATCCCCCTTCCAAAATCTATCTGTCTATATCTCTGTATATCGCTCTAACTGTATATCAGTATGTCTATCTCTCAATCTCCATGATGTCCCTTTAGAATGAAATTCTACGTTCGGAAGATTCGCCCGAGAGAGCGATAACCCCCATTTGCATCATCGCGAAAATACGAATACCGATGTCAGACACACAGCCCGCGAACACACGACAGCCCCATGCAAATATGCTTTCCCACGTATAATATTATACGGGGCACGACATGCTTTTTTGCGCTCCCTCGCTTCGCTTCGCCGGAATAATTCGAACTTTGCCCGGTAATTAGAATCTGCGAATCAACTGCGAGCGAGCGAGTGGTTTGTCAAACGACACTCTCGGGTCGAATCGTAGCCATGACATGACTGGAGGTTCTCGATCGGCTGCCAACATCCCGCGACGCCTGATTCCGATGCCTGATTTGTCGAGCCACGCGGGCCAGCGACCCTTCGTTCCACCGACTACGCACTCTCCCGAGAGTTAATCCTATCGTCGAATAATTTGCAGGCATGGCCCATTAGGAGTGAGACCCGTGTCAGAAATTGTCCGACGACGGTGGACTCTAATCATCCGGGTCTCTTACTTATCGAGTCGTCGTTAATCTCGGCTTAAGCCCATCTGCCGGGACAGTAGAGCATCCGTACTACCCTTTTATCTTTATTCGGCCGAGCCCCGTCGTCGTGCTCCAACACCAACGTCCAACGCGGCGAAAAATATTGCTGACGTACAAAGTCAGGAGCTGAGATCATAAAAAGCCTGTCAGCGATCATTCTCTCGCTGTTTCCTATATGTTGCAATAATCCAAATGTTTCTAATGCCTCGGGTTATAAAGTCTGCGATACTGCTGAGAAATGCAGCATTAAGTAGGTGAGAGATTTATTAGGTGACACGGACGCGATAATCGAGGTTGAAAGCATTCGCTTTGTGTGCTTGTTACTCCCGCATCATAAATTTAGCAATTTAGAGAGTTCGCACTGAAAGAATGCCCCGCGTATAAAACGCGTGCAAAGAAGTAAGTTTGCTGTGAAAACTCCCTCTATTCTCCTGCTCTCGCACGTATTCGGGGCATCAAAAGTACAAACGAACCACATGTACGCCCAGGCGCCGTACACTGAAGCATTTATGCACGAGGGTGGGCACTCCGGCTGCATCGTAAACCACATTTGCGCTTCAGAATCTCTTCGCCGCAGTCGTGGCTTTTCTTTTTCTTCCCTTCTCCCAGGATTTAATGCGTCGCGAGGTTAGTAGCTTGCTCCAAACGCAAATATCTCTCTTTTCTCTCTCTCTCTCTCTCTC